CGAAACAGCCCTACAATATCTTCATTTAAAACTTTCTTAAACAAGGACAGAAAATATACACCAACATACTTTTATACAGGTAGTCGTAAACTGCAGGTCCTTCACACTCGGCTTCGAACGAACTGCAGCGCATTAAATCACCACCTGTTTTTGAAAAACATTTCTCTTACCCCTTTGTGTAATTGTGGGCAAATCGAAACTACCCAACATTTCTTTTTCGAGTGCTGTGCATACGATGCCGTCCGCAGAACACTCCTCCTTAACTTGCAAGACTTCAGCATAAACCTTCATAAACTTCTCTATGGTGACCCATCTCTTACATACCAGGACAACGTTATTATATTTACAAATGTACAAAATTATATAGAAAAAACGAAAAGATTTACTTAGATCCATTCTAATTGAGACTATAATCCTCTCTCACCCTTTTTCTTCTCTTTTCCACTATTTTGTTTTCTTCTTTTATATATATTCTTACATTTTAGACTTGTAGTTAATCTATTCTATAAAAGTTTATATATAAATATATATTTTTAAGTGTGTATAATTAATACTTATTCCCTTGTCTAGTATATACTAATTATAAACTTATTTAAGACAAACCATATAGTTCGCCAAAGGAGAAGAATTCTATAAGACTTGTCTTTCATTCTCATCCTTTTCCATTGTGTAAAATGTTTTGTTTGTTATATATTTGTATGTATGTACATTATATATACTTTCGGGAATAAATATGTTTAAACTAATATTGTGTGGGAATCATTGATAAGCTCACAAATTTGCATTACAAGCTGACCATTTTTCAATTAGAATATGATTTATAACTCTATGATAATTTGTTCATGTTAATTTTCAAAGTCTTTACATTTGTAAAAGGAAATATTCTTATTCTTGTATCAGTAGACATTCACAGTGTAAAGTTACATTGTCCAAATAACTAATAATAATTTCAAGTGCTTTCCTGAAGTTTTTCTTCCGTGATATATATGCTAAGCAGTGCACTATAAATTGTGTAAAAATAAAAGTTCATCAAACTTATGAACTGTTTTTTGTTTCTACTATTTGGCATATATTTATAGCAGTGCTTGATCATTAAAGGGTTCATCTGCAAAATAAGTGTCACTGTGTACTTTAATTCTCTAACAGCAATGGCTATATTGCTTGAATATGCAAGCATTGACTATAGTAAATACTGTGCATGTCATTTGAATTTTGTCTGTCCTGAAATGGAAACAGACATTATCTAAATAATATTGATGAAAAGTTCTTGACAGCTCTACAATGACTACATTTACACATATGTACATTGACAGAAGTTAAAAGCATTGTGTGTTTTTTTAAACATTGACAATTTTGAAACAGTCCCAATGGGTATATTAATGTATCAGTGATGTAATTGTTTTGTATCAAGTGCAAACCCTAAGTTTTGCATGTTTTGTATAGATAATTCACTTTTGGTCAAATGTCAACAGGTCCAAGAGCAGTGAAAGGCTATTACTGGAAGGAAATTTACACATCTTGCCTCAGAAACAAGTTTTTCTTTGAGATGATTTTTATGATATTTAAATGATGGTTATAGATTACATTACTTTTACAATTGCAGTGATCATGGTGATAGTATGAAATGAAACACAATCAAGATAGAAACATTTTAATGCAGATCATTTATCTTTTTACCATTCTTGTCACCTTACAAGTCTATTAAAACAATTTTTTTTGAAACTACATGATGCCTGGTTGAAACTGTTTTGGACAGCCATTTGCAGAAGATAAATGATCTTTGAATATAATTTAATACAAAGTTACAAATTACAGGTTATTTATTTCTAACAAAAGCAGATATTTTGTTTAACATTTTCACACTCACATATATCAACATTACTTTCATTAGAGTGCAAGAATTCAGTCAGACTGTTTACAAAAGCTATGGAGCTTTAAGAAGCTTTCATTCAGTCAAACATCTGTAATGGATTGCCATGTCTCTACCACTATGTACTTTAAGACTGTGTATGGACATTTCCTTTCAACTATGTCTGGTGATATCACTATTTGATTTCTAATCTGATGGTGAACACTCCAAAATAAGTCAAGAGCCATGACAAGTACTCAAGATCCAACCATGAAATCACATACCTGCATATAAAGAAAATTTATCATGAGTTGAAAGCAATAATAATTGGTCAGCTGTAAATTTCAATAATTTTCATATTGTTTTGAATAGAAAATAATGTTGAAAAGGAAGAAACACTTCTTGGTTTCCTAGTTTTTGTAGATTGACTTTGACAACTGATCTTTAAAAAAATGTGATAGTGACTAAGTTCTATTAACCCTTTACTAAACATGATTTAACTAAAAAATATGACCCACTTACTTGAGAAAAATACTTTAAACAGTATTTAACATGAATTAACTACATATGGCATAATGCCATACTGTTTGTTTATTTAGCTACACTGTAATTATTAGACAAAAACGAGAACATTATGTTATACAAGAATATTTTTTTTCATTAATGTAGTTGAAGTAGCTTTAAGTATACATTTCTTACCAAAACGATTTTACAGCAGAGCATGCATGTGTATTTACATGGGATACTGACGTCTTTCATCTCACCACTGTCCATGAGCAGTCTAAATATCTACACGAGCAAAATATTTCATTAAATTTTATGACAATTTAAATTGATAATATACAGCTTGACTGTTTATGCTTTATAAAGATAATAATAATAATAAATAATATTTTCAGTTAGAAGAAAATATATTCAAATAAAACACACTGATAATCATATTGAAACGTTTTATCCGAAATATGCGCTGTCCGAAATTTCTAAACATTATATACTTCTGAGAGATAATCAGGTAGCGCTGTAGAAAATTGATAAAATCAAATACACCAGTCTGAAGTCAGATGCGTATGATGTCGTATCAAATAACAAATTTATTAGATTTACATGGACATGAAAATATTACAACATTTATTGCGATAAACTGAATTCGAAATGACACACCCACCTGAAGATTATACGAAGTTGTCTTTCATTGATACTTGTTCACAAGATGAAACTATTTGCATTTCGTTACAAAACAAAAAACTCTGCCAATTTCCACATATCCTTTGCTTTTCTGTGTAAGTTTTACTTTCCCACCGGCATACAAGTATTACCCAATATAGATAAGCAATGTTGTTGATATTTGTTTGTACCCGGAAGTGCAAAATATCGTGAAATCTCGCAAGTCACATGACGAGACTTACATACCCTATTGTTTAAAAGAATCATAATTATGTGTCTTACATTTCATAACCCGTTGTTTTATTACCAATTTAATTGAATGTGTACAGAATAAGATGATCTGTCTAAAAGCTTCATGAAGCCTTGTCCATTTATGTTTGATACAACTTGTAAAGACATGCTTAACAATCATGATATATCGTAGACAGATAAATATAGTGCATTTTACAAATTGGAAGTATTACATGTTATGATTGTTATCCTTTTCAATTCTTATCATCAAAAGTATTTTCTTGACAAAACGGAAGTTTCAATAATACGGATATATTACCTTATCTAAAGAGCTTGAATGATGTATTAAAAGTCATATCATGAATCTAAATCCATTTTATCAATACAGTGATGAAGTTACACTTGAAATGGTGTTAGAGATATGCAGCTTTTTTTCCCCTGACATTGAGCATTCCAATTATACATTTGAATATATTTTGTATTAATGTTGTATTGTCAATGTTAATTGTTGTAATGTTAATGTTGTACCACTGGAGGGTGTGTAAATATATTGTATCGCTAGAACACATTGCTGAATAAAAGATGCGCAAACAGGCGGTCAGTACAGTTATGAAACATGAACTAACTTCGTGGATATACCATCTATATGCCTATCTGACTATGAAATGTTTGCTCTTTGTTTTTTGCTTATGATAGATAGTTTACATAAAATTATCCATAAAAGCTGCATGCCCACAGATGAGTTAGAATATTTCATGAAAATTACATTTGAGAAAGCATATGAATAAAGAGCAATGAAATGATTGAATATGAACATTATAACTTTCATGTAGCGTGCGATTAATGACTGATTTTGCGGTATTTGTCACCATATTTCTTCGTCGTAACTAGTGCAGTAAGGCTATTTTTGCAAGTTTTGACCTTTTGTTTGGTAAATAACGTTATAAGCGCCGTTTGCAATAAGTAAGTGTCGTTCTGTGATAATTTCACAATAATTCAATTTTAAATTACTTTGTTTGGCAATTGATAATCTTAATTGCCTTCCGTTGTCTACCCTTGTTCAAAAATATGAACAACGGATCGACAAACATCGTTAGATATAGTACAAATGAAAGTTACATTGCCCGTCAAAATAATGTTATAATATTAATTGTAAGAGCATTCGTCTATATTCAACAAAAGCATCAATACTTCAAGCTAAGTTTAGGAATAACATTAACTTTAACATGACACGATCACACACTGGTAAGGTATCAGATAAATAAATACAAGAATGTATTGTTAAAAGTGTTAATACCCAAATTTAATAATTGTGCTATTTAATCATATAAATATTATCTGTTTTCTTTCTTCTTCAACATACTCAAGGATAAGGATATTTAAAGTCCAATAACGAAATATGTCAAACATTCTATTATTACAGGCATGAACAGAAATTTGGACATTTAAACTGACTCTTCGTCAAAAAGGCACATATAACGCTCTTAGCAAGAGATGATCAATTGATCATCACCGGCTAATCAAGACCCAAGACCTGCGATAAGTAAGACGTTATATGACGGAGACTCTAAATACTCAATCATTAAGGCACCTACTTTTCATTGATATGTTATGACTTTCGTTATTTTCTTTACGAGACATATTTTCTGATAAAAAAGCGAAGATAAGTCATACAGAAAAAAAGAAGAAAGTAGTTATCCTGGGCCTAAATTTAATGCTTTTTGTGTTTTTTTCTTCTTCTCTTGTGTATTGTAACTCAAGGGTTGCACACTTGGTTCAAGCGAGCAATATGGTTGCAAACTTGATCAAATGGCAACCGAGCAATGAAAACCTATAACGCCCGCACGTATTTATTTTCAACACGTAAATGGGTTTATATGAATGAATATAATATATGACATATTTTTTGAATATGCCCATTCATTAAGGCAATGTTTATGACACACGTGGATTTAGCTTTCAACTTCATAGCTTCTGATTTGACGATGCTATTGAAGATATAAACTGGTAATATGTATATTTTGAGATTTGACAAGTGACTTTTCAAATCGTATTTTGCCTCAATTTATTCAGTAGACATTTTGTCAAATTTGCAACCATTTCGCCCGCTAGAACCAGGTGTGCAATCCCCTTACATTCTAATTGTATACAATTGTCGCCATAAAACAGACAAAAGTACATTAACCCTCTGTAGAGTGCTAAGAACATCCAACAAGGCATGTTTACATTTAAGTACATCTAAAAGTGTTCACAAGCAATCTAATTTATTTTGAGACAGCAGACAATCAGACATAGAGATTCAAAATAACTTTAAACATTACGTGAAGAAAAGGCATAAAATAAATTTGCATAGGGATGCGACAATGTTTAGCACTTACGGCATCACTTATCTCTGTAAAATGAAAGTTTAGCTTTGCGATTTGAACAGTGACTTTTAAGTTCTTACATACTGATTTAAATAAATCAGAGAACACGATGAACTCATATTAAGTCAATGGTAAAGATATATCAAGTGCGTGTGGTAATTGCACAAGCTAAATTGTCATTTATAGCAACACATGTTTCGGGGTTGTTTTGGTTTCACGGCGCACCAATATCGTTTAAGTCATTTTAAACTTAATATGACGGCGATAGTGCATAATCATTAACTTTAAATGCATTTAAAGTAGTACGGCTTTGATATGTCATCCTGGTTTACACGTATTACTTTCAACAAACATGAGCATGTTCAAATGTATTGATTTATTTAGATAAACAAACAAACAGTTTAGAATTTTTTTATATGGCAAACATTTCATAAATGCTCGAAATTAATACAACCGAATCTTGCGACATTATTTCATAAAATTGTTGGCTTGTTCACAACATTCCTTTAAAATATTTCATTCTCCATTACACTTTCATTCAATCAATTTCGTAAATCAATTCGTTTCATTGTATAATAATTTGCTATGAAATAATGTAAACTTTGAGCGATTAAATGATGAATCGTATTTAAATGAATGTATTTAGTGACAAAGTGCATTTTGTACACATATTTGATATAGATTATTCTTATATATACATGAATTACAACAACAACAACAACAACAGCAGCAGCAACAAAACACAATATTTGCTATCGAGAAGGGATACGTCACTTAATATCCCCTTATAGAATGAATTTTAAAGCACAATTTGGTGTGCAAAAATGATGTTCATTTATAGCGGAAGTGGTCATTTTACAGCACGGCGCACCAAATACAAGTTTGGTCATATTGCGCCGAAACAGAAAAGGTGATGTTTGTTACAATCTTGTGTTGGTACAATGAGCACCTTTACTTCAGTATCCTGAGTTAACAAGGATAAAGTGAGGTAGCCCTAATAAGGTTTGTTGTTGACAAGCATGCATATTATACGAAAAGCATCAATGAAAAATAATATTTTCAGTTGTGTTTTCTTTTTCATAATTATTCTTTTTATACTCAAATACATGCTTGACTTTTTCACTGTTTTAATACCCGAATAAATGATCAAATTTTCATCTGCGTTGATGTCATAATTAGCACACATGCATAACATTTCTATCAACATATTGCACAAGATTCCACGTACCTTACTCCCCGTCAGAATATATACATTAAATACAGTCTCTTAAACACTAGACAAGTGTGATATCATTTAAATATAATCACAAGAAAAGAATTGATGCAAAGCATCAAAGGGCGACGCCAAAAGAATTTGATCCAGGTTTGCACCTAAATACTTAACAAAAGATGTGTACTTTATAGTAGTACCATTACATGTGACCTGGAGGCTAGGCCCAGTTTAAATTGAAACTTAAACCAAAAAGAATAGACTCTGTCTTGCCAAGATTCAAAGACAATTTATAGTCAATTAACCAATCTTATAAGACTCATAATAATAAGAAAGAATTTCTTATATAATAAGAAAGAATTTCTTCAGATTTATTTTACCAGACACAAGGATTCCTGAGTCATCAGCACATAATCACAGGCACCAGTATCAGACCTGGGACGAAAAAATATGACTAGATTGATAAAAAAAACTGTGTTCAAAAAAAAACAAAAAACAAAAATGTAAATAATGACCCCCTTTAAAAATATACTAAGAATAATTAACTTAAAGTATATTTTTAATGGGGGTCATTATTTACATTTTATTTTGGTTTTTGACACTTTTGAGATGAACACAGTTTTTTTTTTATCAATCTGGTCATATTTTATCTTCCCAGGTCTGATACTCGTGCCTGTGCATATAAATAAAGCTTTTTGTTTAGGGTTGCAGACATGTCATTGACATATATTAGACATAAAAGAGGACCTAAAATGAACATCAGGGGGACACCATAGGTACTCAGAGCAGTAGTAGAATGGGTACCAGCCACACCCACCAGCTGTTGTCAATCAGAGATAAGACTTAAACCATGTAAGAATGTCATTACATATGGCAGATGCTTGAAGTTTCATGAAGAAGAAGAAAAAGAGCTTCTTCATGTGCAGTATAGTGTGATCAACTGTATCAAATGCCCTTTGTAGATCTAAAAGTATCATGCAATACTGCCTTTGTACATTTCAAATTTAATGCAATCTGTTAAATGAATCAAACATGAATTGTGTCAGTTGAATAACCACTTCTAATCCCTGACTGAAACTGCCTGACCATGACTCGAACCCATGACTTTCAGAAGACCAACTGAGCTATCCGGCCGGCTACACATTTTCTCTTTAATAAACCACAACATATTTCCCCACTATATTGATTTGTGTCCTTGAATTTCTTATGTTTACAGAGCATAGTGAATTGAACTTATGCTTATATGCAGTCACAGGATGAGAAAACTTTTCAGCTTGACCAGAACTCGAACCTGTGACCCACAGAATAATGTACCGCAGCTGTAGCGATTAAGCTATCTGGCCACTTACATATTTTCTCCCCTAAATAGTGAACAGTTCTAAACCGTGACAGATACTTTTAGATTTTTAAATTAACAGATAATTAGTTCTTAATTAATAAATAAGGAAAAAA